ACAATCATACACACATATACATACGTAGATGTGCAATTATATTATTCTGCATAATGTATCGTTATACGATTAAATAATGATATATAAGCAGTTTATCGAAGGAAAATTCCACGCTATCGACTTTAAAATCATTCAGCCAGCTCCTCGGCCAGAGGTTCCTTTGTGAAAAGAAACTTCAGTTTAGTAATTCCATGCATAAATTCCACTTCCGACCGCGCGGCACACTTTCCGCGTCAAGTTTCCTATCTACACTGTATTACAAAATACGCCCACGTTTCGATAATATGCAAAACAGAGGTGTTGCAATGATAAACGTTCGTCTTATCACTTGATTGTAATTAAACGTTGTGTGTACTGACCGAAATATATTGTACACATATACTTAGACCTAGTTTAACAAAAGAAAAAAAAAAAAAAAATTGATCTACAATACTTAGCATTGTTCATTAAACGTTGATAGTGTCCAATATATTTTTGTAAATTTTTTTATCAGTATTTATTTGAGATTCATTTCAACATTGTGTATATTTAGTGTTTAGTCTCTTTAACGCAAGAATTACCAAAGTGGTGGAAATGAAGAATCTATAATTTTATATATTTTGTATTTGTACACTTGTGACAGTGTATTTTTAAAGACTTGAATGACTTTTAGTAAAATCAAAGCTCCTGTGTTCTTGGATGTATTATAAATCTTTTCTCTCACAAATCTTACACTTTAATTCTTGGTAAGTCTACTAACATAGAAATATATTAAACGAATTCAATATAGAACACTACTGCAATATACAATAGAGGATAAATTTCTCTTTATGAAATATTTTTTTTTCCTTGTGAAAATCATTGATATTATAATGAGAATTATATTATAATGTTGCAAATTTTAATCTGGAAATTTAAAACTTTAATGCCATTTATGTGTTCTTCATTTGTACAAGTATTGAAATTAAACACATATGTAAATATTGTATTTAAAAACTAAATTTATCTTCAAAAGAATAAATATTGTGTGGTACATTGTACGTAATGTATTGCATTATGTATCCTTTGTCTGCATATATATTAACATTAAATACTAGTGTTGAAATGAATCTCAAATAAATACTGATCAAAAATTTACAAAAAAATATTGAACACTATCAATGTTTAATGGACGATGCTAAGTACTAGAAGATCAATTTTTTTTTCTTTTTTTTTTTACTTATTTCAACGCAAGCGTAGCACAAAAAAGAAAGTGAAATGCGGTGGATAGTCAAAAGAATACGGTTCGTCGATAACTTCAATGCAACATTGATAATAATCAGTTTCTCATATACTACTATATCTTAATATAGTAGCAAGATATATACTATATATACTATATCTTAAAAAGCTAAAATTTAATAAAAAAAATTTGTTTCTAAGAGAAATAATTAGTTACGGACAAAATTCAGTGGACAGGTAATGTATAAAAAATATTATATATATAAATAAATATAATATAAAAATAATAAAATAAATATAAATAATATAATATATATAATATATATATAATAACATATATATATATTAATATATAAATTTAAAATTATAAATATAAAATATTATAATATATATATAAATAAATATAATAATAAAAATAAATATAAAAATAAAATAATAATAATAATAAATATAAAATATAATAATAATAAATATAAAAATAAAAATAATAAAATAAATATAAATAATGTAATATATACAATATATATATAATAACATATATATATATATTAATATATAAATTTAAAATTATAAATATAAAATATTATAATATATACATATAAATAAATATAATATAAAAATAATAAAATAAATATAAATAATATAATACATATAATATAATAATATAATATAATAAATATATAGTGAAATCTGACTCAGTTAATATACCAGAAAGAATTAATTCAATAATATCGATGCAAGTGAATAATATACAAGTGAGCAATTTGTCCAAATATCAATAAAAGTCGCTGTACGTTTTCTTCATCCAAGCAGCGAAACCCGCAAGAATTACGATGCCCATTAAATTACGAAATGCCGGCGCAATAACATTCTTCACCGATAATTACGCTGGTTGGCGTATTACGATTCGTTATTACAAAAGATCCTATTACCCGGTTATCCGCGTGGAACGCCTTCTTTTCTAACGAGACGTCTCTCTGTTTTACGACATTCCAGTAGACGCGCCTTCGTTAACCCTCCTAATTAATCCGATTCAAAATCCAACGTGGATGTAACGCTTTTGCACGTAAGAGGCGCGTGTAACACTGCGAAAATACGCCATCATCGATCAGCAGACCGTGTGCTCGCATACGCGCTGCCGGTGAGGAAATGTATGTATAAACATTCCTTCGTTCACCGACGATTCGAACGATCCAACGCGCGTGTGATTAACACAGTCGAGTTTTCTTCGTCTAAATTATTAATTAATGTTGAATAGCAATTTTGAACGTCTGTCGTCTGGGAGCTAAAATATTTATTATCGACGAATTATCTTGGACACAATTGAAATGATTATGTAATCATGATCGTGATTTAGATTAGTTTGGAATATTTGTTTTTTTTGACGGTAAGAACATTTGCGATCGCGACAATATATAATTAAGTTTCGCGTAGAAATTTTAGATATTATCAGGTCACATTAAATTATATTAATTTTGATTGATACGTAATTATAATTAATATGTACTACACATTAATGAATTTAATTATAATTAATACATAATCATAATTGATATATAACACGTATTAATATACAATTTTCAATTTTCCTTTTACAACCTCCAATACAAGCATCATTTGACCAATTTAATTTTCAATTTCTGGATCGGATATATATATCGGGTTTCATCGTTGCAAATTATGTACATGTATTAATACATAATTCATACATGCACGTAATCGCTTACTACGACTGCCGAACATGGGCATATACGTATTTTCAAAACATCGAACGCGATCTTGCAGGAAACGTAGCAAGACATTGTAAGAAACTTAAAGCATGAATGAAAGGAGACCGACCATCAGGGTTTAAAAAGGGCTCGTCAATGGCCGGTGTCGAGTGTGCTAACAAAAAAAAGTCGCTCTCGAATCACTATTTTCCCCTAGCCTGACGCGGACGAAATGTAGCAACGACGGCATGCCTGCGTGCATTACCCGAAGTGGAAATCGCGAGTCGACCGTAAGCGATATTTACATCATCGATACGTGGAAACTGATGAGAGAGATACAGGCATAAAGAGAGAAAGAGAGAACACGGTAAAAGTTGCACGCAACGTCGAAGACGTTCGGTAAGAGGTTAATGCGATGCGTGTTGCCGCATCGAAAAATCGTTACACCGATAGTTGTCGGTGGGTATCGTGGCTAAGTAATCGTGAAACGCCCACGCATTGGAACACGCGCTCGACCACCGAGCATCGGGAAATCTCGATGAAAGATGCTTCTCTAACAAACATGATTCTATCGATGCTGGAACTACGATTAAAATCGGACTGATGGATGAAAACGATGCGTACCGTTCGAAATTCAGTGAAACTGTGGTAAATTGGTAATTTCGAACTGCTGCGATAGTTCCAACGTTGAGGAAACATGTATGCATATATGTGTATAAAGTGGAGATTTACCTCTTCGAGGGACGTGATTGTCTGCCTGCACTGTGGCATTCGCGAGACGAAGGTGGACGTGGTTGGCGAGTTGTAATCTTCCCTCGTCTCCTCGACGAACTCGCTTACGGCGATTAGGCCCGGCATTTTTTCCCTCTTTCTACCTATATTGGCCGGAACAATTGGGGAAAGCCCCCCGAAATTCGTCACCGGTCTAGCACTTAGCGCTGCCGTTACGAGCACTCACTTCACCCGAGACACCGCTCTCGCTCCGCCGTTTCGCCGGTGAGCACCATAAAATCCGCGGGAGGGCTGTCACCTTCTGTCTCCTCCCAATGCCGTTTCCCGTGACGCACGGTAAACGTCGTCCCGGTGCGACGAACGGACCCAGTGAGGAGCACCAGCGGGAGGAGTGAGGAGGGGGGAGGAGCAGGAGGACACAAAGAGAAGAAGGAGAGGGAACGGAGCTGGACAGAGGAAGGGAGAGAGAAAGAGAGAGAAACTTCAAGCACACGGTCGTCTGTCTTCTCAGCCAGCGAGAGACACTTGCGCGACACGATTATTTCTTTAACATCTTGCCTAGCCGGGGTTCCCTGCACTGGCCGCGAGGAAACATATTTCGCACGTTCGCTCGATTCGCGCGGCTCGCGTCGCCCGGGGGAAATCTCTTTTACACCCACTGGCCACTCGATCTGAGAAGTCAACCCGATCGGCGCCGAAACGTTTTCGTCCACGGTCAAAGTTTCACTGAGGCGGCGCTGCGTACGCCTGTACCTTCGCCGTCGAAGAGGCGATTGGAAGAGGGTTCTCTTCGCGTCGAGAGTCGACGGTGCTGCCACCTCGCGACTCAGTCGTCACTTCCGGTGAACGAGCTCCGTTCCGCGAATTTCGAATCTCGCTTCATTGCTCCATTGGTGTTACAAAAATATAGCGCGATAAATGTACATAATGTAATTATACATTGTATTACAATTGCAATATAATTATTTACTAATATTATGATAATGTTACCTTAAAATCACTGGTACATTGATACGATACGAAATTATACAATTTCTTTTAATCGAATTTGTGGAAGCAAGAAGATATATTTGAACATGCCATTGTAATTCTTTTTCATATTTTATAAATAAACCGTGAATTAGTTATAACTTTATAAAAACAGTCAAATAGAAGTATAGTGTTTTTTATAATTGATATAACACATGAAACAATTTTCTACCAAGGTTCTTAATTGAGAATCCTAAAGGTTTTTAAAGATGCGATTTTACATAAAAATACCCAATTATATTTGTTAAGTAATTAAACTTCAAAACTTCAAAGTAAAGCTATTCAAAGTAAAAGAAATAAGGTTCGGACACAAATAAAAAGCTGTAAATATAAATTTTTTTCACTTTTATTACACAAACAGAAAAATTAAAGGACAAGCGTCTCTTGCAACTTAAGTTGTTTTTTGCTTTTTGCCTTTACTTGCGCTGCGATGCGATCTAGGTCTCTACGACCTTGGCTGGTAAGCTTACGTCCACCAAGTGGAGCTTTCTCGATAAGCTTCAACTGTTCTAAACTTTGCAGAGCTTTACGTGCAACACCACCTGCAGATCTACAGAAATGGCTGGGGTGGGTGCCGTTACGTTTGCGTCCACCGAAGATTTTCGTTACAGCTCCAACACCGATTGGACTGCGAATATAGATGTGACGAACCAAGGCTGCACACCTAATGTAATACCAATCTGGGTCATATGGAGCAAGTTCCTTGAAGCGCGCAGACTTCACAATATCCACCCATTCTGGAACTCGCATTTTGCCAGTTCTAAAATATTAAACAAATTAAATACTCAAAATAGTTGAAGAAAGTAATAGACATATACATATTCCATTGTTGATTTGTAACAAGCTTCCACGTCGTGAAAACTTTTTGAGGTTAGTTTTATTTATTGAAACAGTATTGAAACAGTTACTCACTTCTTCAAAAAGGCAGCGAAGGCCTTTACGAATTTGTGTTGATCAACGTCTTTCAGCGTCACGGAAGGCATCTGAAACACAATAGTAAAAAATGGTCAATAATGCAAATATCACACGTACAGGGTATACGTTTACCTCACACGTGTATTGTAATACTGTGAAACTAAATTGCGTACGTATTTCAAAATATATATAAAAATTGTGCAACATGCGTTAATTAATTTATATTATAACTTACATCACTCTTTTTTCTACGATAATGTGTCAAACTGTGAAAAACTGACAAAGATACAAACCTTTGCTTGAGAGCTAACCGGAAAAGAAGTGGCAATGAGACAATGCTAGAAGCAAGTTACAAAATGGCGGTACTGGCAGGAAATGATCAGTACATAGAAATGTCTCTTAATGAACAAATACATTTCATCATTTAAGTGACAACAAAATGCATATAACCAGACAATGCATTTTAGATATTGTTCTGAGATCTACAACATTTTTCACTATTTTTTTTCTTTTTTTTTTTGATCATGTGACGATACAACGAAGGTCATAATTTTTTATTTACTTCACATACATGTAAATACAGCATTATTATAATTTTCATTTCATACGTGTGCGAACTGTAGGAAGCCTAGTATTATCGAAATACAAACTAGCTATCTGATAGAGATAAGAGAATCACCAAAATAATACTTATTTTTATCATGACATCATCGTTACTTTACTGAACAGTGTGATTGGAAGTGGGGATAAATACGTTGCTTCTAAGTTATAAAAGAGGAATCCCATTAGATTTTCGCTATGTTTAAAACCTTGTGCCGACAATATCTAAAGTCATCGTTCTCCAGATATAACTACATCATTATAAATTCCTGTTCCAAAAGCATGGCGTTAACGGAGCCAATTCCTTTTTCCAAGGATTTTCTCTTCCGTCAAGTAAGTGCATATCTGCGCAGGTTGTCATTTCGCAAGTGTGTACGCACCCATTCGAATCTTTCGTTACTGCGACTATAGCGACATCTAGCGAATTATTATGAATTACAAGTTTCAAAGAATCAATTTTTATAAATTGCCCACTTAGCTTTAATTGAGTGTTTGTCCTTTGTGAAATTAATTTATGAGTCATATAAATCATGTTATTAATTGTTACTATCTATTTCACTATCAGTTTCATGAATTATGTAAAAGTCACAACATTTTATCTTACAACAGGTATACCTTCAGTAGTATTTATATATATATTTAACGCGAAAAGAATTAGAAATTAATTGTTATTCACAGTAATTTGCAAGCAGTAATTTTTGAGACTTTTGAGCAGAAACCGTTTAAGTATAAAATGTACAAATGTTATGAATTATGTACGAAGTAAAATTGCGTAATATCGTGCAATTGCATAAATTGAATTATTCATCGCTTTAACATAACCTATTTATTTAACGGAACGTTAAGACGTAATCTAATTGTATGAAGTAATGTAACAAATTAATTAAAACTTTTTTAATTTCACAAATTTTGCAAAAATCAGTAGTAGAGACTTTTCTTTTAATTAGCCTTACTTTTATCTTTTATTAGACACTTGTAAAAAAGGACAATGGATGAAAAAATATTACGCAATTTCGCGAGTAACTGCTAGAAATAAAACAGAATATTTCCATTTGAATTAAAAATTTATGTTTCTTACAGGAAAATAAAAATTTTTGTTCTTTTTTTCTAATTAATTTTTTTTAAACTCAATAATTTAATTTTTTTAAATTAAATTAATTCATGAATTTCGTTTCTTTTTAAATTGAAACGTCGAAAAATGATCTCAACGATTAATTCGAAAGAATTTGTATGGTTTTACATAAAAATGAAAATGTAAAGATTTTCGGGAAATCTTGGTGTCACAATCAACGTAGTAAAAAAAAGAAAAAAGAATTGTTGTTTTTCACGAGTTGGAAAGAATTATTAAGTTGATGAAAAAAAAGATAATAGCAATATCCTTGAAGAAATTACCAAGTTACGGCACGCTAACAGGAGGGAACAGGAGAGATATTTAATTAAACTGCAACTACATAGCAATCGGTCAAGTACATTAGGGTTTGCAAAATTTAAAGTTGTTCTGGAAGTTTCCGGTGTTCCAGCAATTAATATTCCATTTCGGAAGACAGGAAATTAACATTTCAGTTCTCTCGTGATAGTAACGTAATAGATATCAAATTCATTGTTACGAATAATTGATTAAATTATAATTCAATGCAATTTCATTATCGTAATGAAATGTTAATAATGCACCAAAAATTGCAATTGTCCTCATATTTGCTTAAATAATTCTGTTACATCTGTATACACGATGATGTTGAACTCTTTTACAAAATAATCATTCGTTGAATTACTATGAGTCTCAATTTAATTGAATTAAATTATTAATGTATTCATAATTAATTAAAAATTGGAATTATTTAATTAATATGAAATTGAAGCGGATTAATCCCTGTTGTATTTGTAAAGAGTATGACTTTTTTATTTAATGCATTAAGGACCAACGATATAAATTTTTTGCAACCTTTGTTCATAATTTTTTTCATAATATTATTTATTAACTTATTATCATGCTATGAGTATTTTAATTTCTTTAAATTCTATAAAATTATAGAATATAACAGCGATAAAATAATATTAAGCGAATCCTTGTAATTTAAAGAATAGAATTAGAATACAATCTGAATTTGATAATAACAGATAGAATTTGATACTATAAATCGATCGAGAATAATTGCAAATGAAATGTTGCGTTAATGAAACGTTGGCCCTTAATGGATAATGTCCTTTTGACATGAATTCCATTCCGCGAAGATGTATGGCCAAAATCAAAATATCTAACAATGATCGTATCATATTTATGTCCATCAATAATTACAGTCAATTACAAACTCATAAAACAATTATAAATATCTTCCATAAATCTCCACATTATGAAATCAAATCTCCTTTTTCCACTTTTTAACAAGTTTTTGAATTGCAATTCTTAGATGTTCGACCCCGTGTCCAGCACGTATACTTATCTGTTGGCTGATATCAACGATAAGATTGCGATCCTAATTGATCCAGTCGTCGAATGGGCAGAACGAGATAAAACCATTGTTCAGCAATTGGGACTAACGTTAAAATATGCTAGTAAGTTAGAGAGTATAATCACGTTCATAGAAATCATGCTCCATTCGCTGTGTCGCCTGAAGTTCACGATAAAACCGGAAGTAGGTTGACCATTTTTTTTTTCTTTTTTCCTTCATTTTTTTCGTCACCAGTGGAAATAAAATTGAATTCGTGGAATATGATGTTCGTTTCACACACGCACGCACGCGTGTGTGTGTAAAAAGATATTTCATTCTCGAAGAATATTTTTGGAAATTATTCGAGGGTGAATATACTTTCAGCTGGAACGAAATTCGACGCTTTTCCGTCCCTGGTCCTCTCTGTTCTCCAGATGAAAATACATTCTCGGTCAAAAAGTGTTTATTTGTTTCCAAATTGGAAAAATTAAATAGTACCTTGATCGAGAATCAAGAATTCATCTGTCAACTTATTAAATTATGCATTAAATTAATAGTAACGTGTATTGTTTCTATGTTTTGTATAATGTGTAATGTGTATTACTAATATAGTATTTAAGAGGCTAATATATATATATATATATAATTATATTATATAATTGTCGTATCTATTTTTTATGAAGTATTTCTCAATTAAATGATATAATAGTATGTTATTACTATTAATAAATATAAAATAATATAATAGTAGTAATAAAAATAGTGATGAACAAGCATCTACTATTATATGAAATTAATATTAATATAATAATATTGTATGTATAACTGTAATTAGTTATATATAAATATTGTATGAAGTTAATATTTATAATAATATTATATGAAGTTGATATTTGTATAATATAGTTATTTATCTTATTATATAGTATTATTTATCATAATATGTATTATGATAAATAATACATAATATAATTTATATTATATAGTATTATTATACTTATAATATAAATTATATGATTATAATTTATATTATATAGTATAATATAAATAATATAAATTATATTATTATAATTTATATTATATAGTATAATATAATTTATATTATACTTATATAATAATAATATAATTTATGTTATATAGTATTATTTATCATAATATTTGTTATAATATTTTTTTACCATTAATATCTCAGCCAAATGTGATACTTATTAATCATATATGCATCACCACGTACATTAAAATATTGAAAATAAAACTAAAAATAAAACGATTGTCCAGAGATTTTGCGCGATTTTTGCTGTACGTATAAAAAAAAAAAGAAAAAAATTCTCTTCTATCCGCGCGAAATCGTAATAAGCGGAAGGCAGCGTTAACGGGAATTTGTAAATTTTTGATTCCGTTGCGTGGGCGAGTTCGCTTAACGATCGGGACACATTGAATTTTCGAAGTAATTGAATAGCAACGTTACTGCCAATATGTAAATGATTACGTTAGCTTTTAATTAATCATTGTGATATGCCCTTTTGTGCGATATCGATGTATAAAATTTGCATCTATTGCGCGCGAATACGTATCTACCAATTTTAGCGGGTCGTAATGAAATTTAACCGGTTCGATGTTCGATGATAAATCAAGCATTTATCATACACGAATTTATCATACATCGGCGGTGGACGAACAATATCCGCTTTAAATGAAATTTTGATCTTTTTTTCTGTTTCTTTTTTTTTGTCGAAGGATTTGAATTTTGTTGCGGCATTTTTAAAAGAGACGCATTTTTTTTTTTTAAAATACTGATTTCGTGTATTTTTAAAATACTGATTTCTAATGTATTTTCGTACATGATATTTTTAATTATTTTAATATTGATTGTCATTTATATCGTCGATTAATATTTATTATTATTGATTGAAATTATATTTGTATTAATTATTTGTCTATCTTTATATTATCGATTGGTTTGCGCATTTTTGCGTAATATGTGAATATTCGGCGAACAGAAGTTAAAATTTCTTAACGTTGGCAAAACATTTGGAAAATAGTAATATATAAAATAGATGAAAGTACAACATTTACGACAAAATTTTAGATAAATAATAGAATTATGGTATTTGGGAAATGTTCTGAAAACTGCATGTATACAACATATTACGCTAGCAAATTATTCTTACAATTAGTTCGTTTGGCTCCGGAATGATGCATTTTAAAAAAAATGCAATAAAAATTGCTCAATTATAGTAAAACGGCGCAAGAATAATTAATATGAATAAAACGTGGTTTACAATTGGGCTATTTAAATGGAAAAATTATTTTTACGAACGGTCGTTTGTTTCCATATAAATGGCCTTCTTTCGTGATAAATGTAAAGATACGTATATTGAAATTTATTGGAAAAAGGAAAAAAGCTTCGAGATACATAATCGAATGAAAAAAAATATATATATATATATATATATCATCGATCAAATGGTAATTAACACCAAAACTACCAAAAGTGAACAAAATGACCACTACGTCGGAAATTTTATGGATGCAAAAAATAAACAGTATAGTTTTAGAGATTTAAATGATTTTTTTTTTTTTGTAAAACAAACGCTTGTGTTGCAAAATTTTTTTTAATGTCCCTGATGGAAATTTCGATTGTCGATAGTTCTAATGTTAAAAAAAAAGAAAAAAATAAATAAAAAATAAAAAATGAAATACGAATGAGCTTAACAATCAAAGGAAAATTTAGAGAACAACGAACGAAGCGATTACGGTGAGATTTGTAACTGAATTTGCATCTTAATTTTATCGATTGCCCCGGTGATTTATGAGCAGGAGTGTGCATCAGCGAGATACGTCAATTCGGCCGAGTCTTCGTTTCATAGTGCACGATCTTTAACTGTCGCGCGTTTTCTCCGCTGCGATATAATCCGATTGAAACAATTGATGGTTAATTTAGTTCGTTCGCCTCGCAGCCGGGGCAAATCAACCGAATAATGCACTTAAACACACGGCTTTCACGTCCAAACGAGATTCGATGCGCCTCGTTTTTCCGCGAGATAAACTGAAAATCGTGGTTGAAATGGAGAACAACGAGAATTGTCGAGGGGGGGAAAAAAAAGAGGCAGCTTAAAGCTGCGCAACATAGATTATGAATTTACAGCGAAACGTGTTTCAGGTGAATCAGGAAGCTCTTTTGTAAATTATTTACAATATACATTAGCTTGTCGTTTTATACTTTGTACTTTATACTTTGTACTTTGTACTTTGTACTTTGTACTTTGTACTTTGTACTTTGTACTTTGTACTTTATACTTTATACTTTATACCTTATACTTTATACCTTATACTTTATACCTTATACTTTATACCTTATACTTTATACTTTATACTTTATACTTTATACTTTATACTTTATACTTTATACTTTATACATTATACCTTTATGTTTTATACTTTCTACCTTATATTTTATATCTTATACTTTATACCTTTATATTTTATACTTTATACTTTCTACCTTATATTTTATACCTTTATACTTTATACTTTATACTTTATACTTTATACCTTTTACTTTACACCTTATACTTTATACTTTATACCTTATACTTTACATCTTATACTTTATACCTTATACTTTATACTTTATACTTTATACCTTATACTTTATACCTTTATACTTTATACTTTATACTTTATACTTTATACCTTTTACTTTACACCTTATACTTTATACTTTATACCTTATACTTTACATCTTATACTTTATACCTTATACTTTATACTTTATACTTTATACCTTATACTTTATACCTTATACTTTATACCTTATACTTTATACCTTATACTTTATACCTTATACTTTATACCTTATACTTTATACCTTATACTTTATACCTTATACTTTATACCATATACTTTATACCTTATACTTTATACCTTATACTTTATACCTTTATACTTTATACCTTATACTTTGTACTTTGTACTTTATATCTTATATTTTACTATATACTTTATACTTTATACTTTATACTTTGCACTTTGTACTTTATACTTTATACTTTATACTTTATACTTTATACTTTATACTTTATACTTTATACTTTATACTTTATACTTTATATCTTATATTTTATACCTTATACTTTACTATTTTTAATATTATAATAAAAACAGTAGAGAATGTACTTTAAGAGAATACTAAATTCTCTTAAGAAATTCGATATTGAATTGTAATTATTTTGTGAGTTTGTATTAATTGATACTTATCAGTTTACAAGGGAAACAAAAGTAGTATAAACGATTCTAGTAGTACAAACAAAAATAGTACAGACAGAAGTAGTATAAACAATTTCAATAGACTTCTCAAGGAATTCAATATTGAATTGTAATTATTTTGCTTCGTGAACAATATTTATAAATTCACACTGAAACATATTTTAAGAAAGAGTGGGCATTTTCTCGAAAAATTCGAACAGTGTAATTCTAATTATTTGAGAAATTCGTGATTAAGTATTTTTAAATTTACGAGATAACTTTTTTTGAAAGAATGGAATAGGAATTTTCTTTCTAAATTGCAATTATTTTAAAATTAACTATAACAAGCAATTTTTTTACTTTGATAAACCATCTTATACATCGATTTCGATATTTTTGAAATTTTTATTTTGATACCACTTGTAATACGAAAGTATGAAATATAATTCTGATCGTTTTAAGCTTAAAGTAGGATAAATAAAAATCGGCAATAAACACAAATTCTTGAAATGTCACACGAAGTACTAGACAAATAAAAAATGGAAAATAAAGGGGGAAGCACAAAATTCTTCGTGAATCTTGTAAAATTTATTTTCACGCGTCTCGTTTTGCGAGAAATTCGCAGATGCGACGAGTGAATTGAAAAATTTTCCGAAATTTTTTTCATCCTCCAGCCAGAAGATATAGTACACCTGCGCGTACAATAGATGAAAAACGGTTCACGCTGGCTGAAACTTCTCGGCTAGAGTCTATTGAACGCGGTGATTCAATAATTTAGTGAAGTGCCAGCATTATTAAGGAAACCGTGCGCTTAATTGTTCGAATTGCCACTCGAAGCCTTCCATGAAACGAACTGAAACGTGAAAGAGAGTCACTTGAAAACATTTAATTATGTGACCATCGGCTTATTGAAAAAGTCCAAAGCACGCAGTTTCGCGCGATATATATCGACTGTTATACATGGTACGTATCATAGAATACGTATGTGCGTAGATTGAAACAGATAAAATATTTTTGGCGGATAAAAATGTTCTACACGATGGGAAGCGTGCGAAAAAATGTAAATTTTGGAAGGCAAAATTACTCGTTCTCTAAAATTTTATTATTCTATTATTTTTTTATTATTCTTAAAATTTTTTTATTTTATTATTCTTAAAATTTTATTATTCTATCATTTTTTTATCTTATTTTATTATTCTATCATTTTTCATTTTATCTCATTATTTTCAATTATATTTTAAAAATTTCAAAATTAAGTAATTTGATTCTGAACTGTTATAGTTCCCAATGTCAAATGATGCTAGTTGAAGGTTAAAGGAATTTTATTGCACAACATAGCTAGAAATTTAACAAAACAAAATTGTACAAAATTTCACAAAGAAAGACGATAGAAATAGTAGTTTATATTTTTGAAATTTGTTTACATACTTCTGAAATTAAAGTATCTAAAATTAAATAATTTAAATTGGTATGATCCCCAGTGTCCAATAACATCAATTAAGAATTAAAGTAAATACTAAATTAACTACTAAAGTAAATACTAAATTATTTATTGAATTGTAATTTACTAAAAAGAAGTTCTACAATTCCAAAAATTAGATAATACAACTTAATTTTTACAACCATAAATTAATGTTAATAACTACAATATATTACAAGCATAATATTGAATTATAAATGTATTTATAATGCAGTTTTAATAAAGAAGAAAATTCTTAATTCTTAATACGGTAATATAATTGAACATAATAATATATAATACATTATATAATATATAATATATTGTTATAATTGAACATAATAATATATAATATATTGTTTAATATATAATACATTATATAATATATAATATATTGTTATAATTGAACATAATAATATATAATATATTGTTATAATTGTGTTATAATACATGACAACAATTAATTTTGATAATAATAGTTGAGAAAATATTCTATAATTTTATTAGAAGCTTTTCCACGTCTGTTAATTTGTTTGCACTCTCGACAGTTCCCAAAGATATAATTCCAATTGGACACCCGGTATATAGACTCGCGGCCGCAATGAAACTCAAAGTAAATTCGAATTGAACTTTTTACCGTATCCCAAATGTCTTCGTTATCATTTTTCTCGATTCGTCTTCCCGTAATTTCCCTTCCCTCGTGTTTTCTAAGTTCGTGGCCGCCCCCCCCCCCCGCCTTCGCCGATTTAATTGAAAAACTTAATAATTAAAATGGGCCTCTCCGCCGCTCGTTTATGTTTATCATTACCTCTTGCGAAGATTAATGAAAATGTCTGGGAATGAAGTGGACGACAACCGCCGTTCATCGAGTCTTTGAAGTTGCATTTATATTTAAAACATTCACGTTGTATGACTCACAGTTTCAGATTCAAAGTTATGCGTAGTTTTTGATCATTTTTTAAACAGTAATATAGTTACGTAGTACGTTGTTTCGTGCAGAAATATAAAAAAAAAAAGGAAAATTCTTTAATACATCGCGACTAGTTTTATACTCTTATTAATAAACTGCGGATTTTTAATATGTGTTATAATTATTACTACTATTTAATATGTGTCATGATGTTGGACAGACAATCTTGTAATTACTGTTGCTATTTGTTTCACAGAGCATAACATGTTACAATATTTGTCAGAATATAGTCAACATATGCTGATATAATATATTGTTTTTATTGTTCTAAATCAAATATGAAGATGATCTATAAAGATGACTTGTATGATATATAATATATAATGAAGATGGTCTATAAAGATGAATTATACGATAATATAATATATAATGAGGATGACCTATAAAGGTGAATTGTATATGATGAATTCTCAATATCATTTTAGATTAAGTGATAGTTTAAGAAAGCTATGTAATGTTCATTTCATTCTCACTTGGTACTGTACGTTTGACGAGCATACTTATTTCTTAATTTGTTGTATTGTTACGTGTTTAGTTTATACTATAGCACTGTACAGAAAATTTTATAGTCAATATGTAATAATAATTATAATGTAATATAATATAATACAATATAATACAATATAATGTAATATAATACAATACAATACAATATAATATAATATAATAGAATACAATACAATACAATATAATACAATATAATACAATATAATACAACACAATACAATACAATATAATACAACACAATACAATATAATACAATACAATACAATATAATATAATATAATAATATATTATAATATATAATATAATATAATATGCAATAATATACTTTACTAGAGGTTCGAAGAAGACAACAAATTATGATACATTGAATGTGATGCATTCTTTTTAGTTTAGTACTATAGCATTGTACAGAAAATTTTATAATCAATATGTAATAATATAATACAATACAATACAATACAATACAATATAATATAATACAATATAATATAAAACAATATAAAACAATATAATACAATATAATACAATATAATATAATATAATAATATATTATAATATATAATATAATATGCAATAATATACTTTACGAAGAAGACAACAAATTATGATACATTGAATATATCAAAAAATATATGTTTAAAGATGATGCATTCTTCGTTACATGCCCTCATTCAGTATTTTAGATTTTATCAAACATTTAGATTTCAAACACTCAAACATTAAGATCTCAGCTTCAACACAATATTTAATAATCTTTTGATAGTAATCAAGGGATTAATCTCGAAGGATTGAGATTTCAACTCTGGTAATAATTTTGTTTTCTTCGTTTTTCTTTTTTTTTTTTTTTGTAAATACGCATATGCATGCTGATCATATCACCGGAACCGGAAGACTCAAGTGTTTGTTACCTGGCTGCCAGTCAATGATATCACGTAGCAGCGGCGCTAAGGCTGATATACTCTTGAATCCGGATGACCAAATAAGCTTCGGCAGGCATAATTTACGAGTGCTTCCTACGCCCGGGCATACCGAAGGTCATTATTTTTCTGTTGTATTTTCAGGCACTTGTGTTCTATCTTTTAACAAATACGTACGTCCAAGTGGGTTAATTAGCGCCAGGGAATGTTGGTATGCGCGTGTTTCGCGGATTTTTATGCATTTCTAGAAAACTCGTGGACGTGAGAGGGTATAAAAAGATGAAAGTATTAAAAAAATCCGACTTTACCAATGGCATAATTATTTGACATTACCAATAACATAATTAATTCATTTTTCATTGTACGTCGTTTCACTGGGAAGTGGTCATTTACTGCAAAGAAACCTTTTATTTATTTCATTGTAGATTTTCATGAAAATTTTTATTCTCGATGAATGTGATTATAAATAGATGAGAATTCTTTTATGTGTCAAATGTTATAAAAGGCCCTACACTTGGTATTATTATATTTATAATATTTTATAACAGAATATAATATATAGTAATATATACTATTGTTACTATTGTTATACGTTCTGTACAGTTTTTTTCGCATCCTCAAGTTTTCTACAAATGCATAAAAATCCGCAGAATCCAGAAACAAAATATTTATTTCAACGTTCATTTCATTCCTGATCTTTTGGTAATATATATAATGTATATTAATTTTACTAATACATATATATATATATAATGTATATTAATTTTACTAATTTTATAATTTACTAATGTATTTTATCTTTGTCAATTAATTTGTAACATATGATAAATACTATCCTCCTTAACGCTGCTGTGATTCTCGGATTTCATTCTTTCGAAGGTTTCTTTTACAAGGACGTTTAACGCATTTGAAATTGAAACGAAGGATCGCGCGATTTTTTCTTAGAAAAATTTACGCTCATGAGAAATACAATCGGATGGGAAATAGCCGGAAGAACGCAGCAGGGTTAAACCACAAGTTGCCCGGCGTGTGTCACTATGCTTCATAATCGATACATTCATATTTTAATAGGTTGTGTTACTTATGTTTGCTACGAACAAGGCGTCGCATTCACAGGCGATGCTCTATTAATACGCGGCTGTGGACGAACAGATTTCCAGGTTTGTAGCCAAAAAGAAGCTCAAACGTAACGTAATTGGTAACGTGATTATGGTAATAACAATTAATTACTAGGACGCGAATTCTGTGCACGATACACACAATATATAAAAATACACTAATATATAAAAATATAAAATAACAGTATATCATAATATATTGTAAATAAAATAAGTTCTTCAAACTTCCAATTTTTATGATGCCACTAAAAAAAATTTTAAAATTCACAGAGCTCCACGTCCTACTGATTAAATTAAATTTGAATTTATTTCATTCTCATAAAAAGGGAGAATCTAAATATAAATTTGTGTGAAGCTTGGATTTAGATTAAAAAAATGATTAACAATGATTGATTAGAGACCTTAATTGTAACTTTTGAAAAATTGGTTTTGGAATTATTTTCAAGAAAACACTCGAATGTTTATTAAGAATTCGATTAAGAACTTTATTTATAACAGTCTGATATAGATACATGTGGGTGTAGTAATTAATTCAGTGGATTTCTAAGGATTCGCCTGTGAATCAATTCTATTTTATTTTGCATGACAAGAAATTGATGCCATAAATTTCAAAACAGTACGACTCTGCTCTACCAATCAATATTGAAAATATTGGCGATATTGGAAATACGTCTCTCTCTCTGTTTATCTTCTTTAATTCATTGTTAATCTTATTGATTCTTTCTTAGAAGCGTTTTGAAATGAAGAAAAACATAGCAGAGCCTAGCAGAGAACACATTAATCAATATTTCCATATTTTAAATAAAGTCATGTTTTAGAAACATTCATTTTCCTTTCAGAATGATCACTCGTATCATTTTTGACTAAAAATTGACATGTACAAGAGGAGAGACACTTATATTCGCGTTTCTATTTTTTAATAAAATTCAAAATATTAATTTTGTCACAAGTTCTCACTTTCAGTAATTACGAAGACTCTGAAACCTGTCACTTTGCTCCATAAATTTTAAAAATGTCAGCACAAATATCTAAAAAAAAATATTATTTTGCAATTAAAAAGAAATTCTATACGTACATGCAAACACTTAGAAAAATATTTACGGTATTCAACGTTATTCACAAACATCTGAATAAATGTTTGAACCTCGACATGTCAAGGAAACGTCAACGCTTAAAATGAATTTGTAATAAACAATTACACTGCACAAAGTTTATTAACACGTCATCCTAAAGTGGCAGGAAAATGTCGGAGCTCGGAATGAACTTGTAATAAATAATTATGTTGCACAAAGTTTATTAATACACAGTCATTTATATAAAGTCGCCGAATTGTTAATAACGTTTCTACGTGTTGCGTTAATTTCACGATTAATTGATTCACCGCAAGGATTTGGTCTTAAAATCTGGCGACGATATTCCATACAGGAAACGTTGATGTAAAATTGTTCAGGTTCAATATCGTGCACTCTAACTTTTGTGCATGCTGGTGTGCATCATTTATTTAGTTGCTAACAACTTTAAAAGCGACGCAGGTATATTGTATACCCACGTAGAGCACGTTCATTTAAATTTTGTTACAAATTGGTGAATTTATATATACGTGCCAAGGAAAATTTAGTTTCATTATTTTTTATTTGTACTATGAGTTGTTTGTACATTTTTAACAATTGTTAGAATGTGACATTTTATTAATGAGATCATTCATATATGTTATATTTTCGATCATGTATAGATATATTTATATACATGATTGAAAATTATATTCATATATAATTACACTTATATTTATTAATTATATTTATATATAAATTATATTCATATATATTTGAAATTTATATTCATATATAATTACACTTATATTTATATATAATTATATTTATATATAAATTATGCTCATGTTTTATATACATAATTGAGAATGTAACATGTATGAATAATTTCTGCAATTAATACTAATCTTTTCGACTGTGTCCATGTGATTTATACGATGGACAACAACGTTATAAAATTGGCACACGCACTTAAAAAATATTTAGGCACTTGTTTATTTTCTGTATCGTAATTATGAATAATTTTAATTATATCACGCTTGAATTTCAATGATTTTATTGCTTGGAGTCACAGCTACAGCAATTTTTTTTGATGGTATATGTATACACATATAATTTTCTAATTCTATAAAAGCACAACAAACACTACTTCATCATCACTTTATAGATTCAGAAGTTAGTCCTAATTATTCATGTATGTTAGTTCAATTTTATCGTGTGAATGATAATTTTTGTACATCAGTTTAATATTTTTGATCAGTGATTAACTAGTTAATTTTACACAATTCTTACAAAGAAATCGATCCAAAATGTCCACCGTGTATAGCGAGCCGCGTTAATAACTGCAGTTTCTTTTCAATTTCTTTCCATTACAGGGTGGCTCTGCAGAGGTCCTGTATAATTCCGTTCATTCGAAGATCTTCACGCTGCCAGCGAATTTCCGGCTATATCCAGCGCACGATTACTCTGGCAGGACAGTAACCACGGTGGCCGAGGAGAAGGCCTTTAATCCCAGATTATCTAAATCTCTAAATGAATTCGTCGACATAATGAACAACCTTAATCTGGCCTATCCAAAAATGATCGGTACGCTGATTTGCTTATCCATCGCTCAGAGAAACAATAAACAAAGGTTTCTCGAGGCTTCTGTGTTTCAAAGAAAATTTGCCACGAAGCTCGACGAACGTTCCATTTAATTTCTCTTCCTCTAAATAACATTCGCTTAACCTTTTCAGACAAGGCCGTACCGGCCAATAAAGTTTGCGGATTATACGAAGTCCCCGACGCATAGAGAAACGGCGAAGAGATGAACTGCGTGATATTTTTACGTTCATCGATCGGCTGGCTGTTGGATTCGATTTCGTCGCTTTGTGTGACGATAATAGAGCACAATAGAGAAGAAGAGCATTAATTATACACGATCGAAATAGAAACGAATTAGCTTTTAAAAAGGGGAAAATGAGCGTATATATATATATATATACATCACGAGCGGTATAGTTGCTAATGAACGCCCTGAAATCCTATTTAACTTTTCAATTCGTTTCCGTTGTTGTTGTCCGTTGTGGAATTCCATTTGCGGCCGTTTTAGCTCGTTCCCATTAAATATTTGCAGCCGCGCCTTCCAACCAGCGTTGTACGTTATAAATTTAAAAAACAAAAAAAAAAACTAATTAAATTAAGCACCCTGCGCTTGAATTGACGCAGGAATTAGGTGCAGCGTTTCTTTTTCGTGAGCGCATCATCATCTGGGCCCCGGGCGCGGTGCAAAGGAGATTTTTACATCAGCATAAGTAAACACACTGGAGGACGCCGCCGGAGGAATCGTGGCAGACGTTGTGCCACGTACATTTGAAGTTTCACGTCATTCGCTGTCCTTCATCCAGCCTTTTCTAATCCTAATCTCGGCGGACAGGCACGCGTAACGAAAAGAGAAAGAAGAAGAAGAAAAAAAAGAAGAAAACCGGCGCTCGGTGATAGAGACGATGGGCTGGCTGTAATCGGGTAGTTTAAACGGGCTGCCTTGTCGAAACTCGGGACGAAGAGACCCCCATGGTGTGCCGCTGGTTTCTACTGCATAGCTGAGGGTTGAAATCGATACCGTTTCCAGGGTAACCAGTGGGTACGGTGGCCGACACACGGGCAAAGGTATGGGCCAAGGCTATCTGCTCGTGCGTTTTCATGCTCTTCTGAAAAAAAAAAAAGAAAAGAGAAAAAAGAAAAGAGGAAAGGAGAGAGAGGCAAGAAACGGCGGGGCGGCACAAAGGGGCGGTGGAGGAGGAAAAACAGATGAAGCCATGCGGAATGTGTAATTTCCCTCGGTCCGCTCTTCTTGGCTTAGACGAAAAAATAGAAAAATCAGCAATATATATTGCGCGGGATATATATATAAAAGAAAGAAAGGAAAAAAAAGGGAAAACAAGACGCCAGAGATGTTTAATAAGGCGAGTGAGCACTACTTATCCACGGTTCTCTAAATCGTAGAAATGACAAGACTTCTTCTTCTGGAAGCAAGCGGTCGCAGTGATACACAGACACTTGGCGATTTATACGAGACTCGACTTTGCAACTTGACAGTTAGCACGTGTATCCGTATCTCGGGAATTTCGTTTATGCGTTCAGTCATCACCGGACCGCATTCACAATGATTGATATTCATAACTACCGATTGAACAAATGAAATTCGAGCAGACATTTGTTTCATTTTGTTCATTGATCGTATTTCACAAATGTATTTCGCGATCCGCGGCCTGCTTGTTACTTTGCCACCTCGAAGCATTCGTTTCTAACGAATTATTAATTTTAGATTCGATTTCAAGATTCAGTATATTAACCGAGTGAATCTTCCCTGGCAAGTGAACGAAATTCTGGCTATACACGACTGAGAAGAATATTCGTGTTACATTGATTTCGTCTTCGCGCAAGTATCTCGCTCCTCTCGGCCTCGCCTCGATTACGCGCATTACAGACGAATATAAATGATGTCACAGCACTGGTACAGCGTATTACTCTCCATGTATTAATAGCGCTGTTATCGATGCACACTCGGCGCCGATGCGATACACACGTATTTGCAAATCAATTTGAAAAATCACCGATCGTGTTAAGCTCGAAAATATTCGACAAATGTTTTCTTTCAATCGTGCGCGCGTATGTGTGTGTGTGTGTGTGTAACGGGTGATACTGGATTTATTCTGGTTTCCTTTTCCTTTTTTTTTCTCTCTCTCTCTCTCTCTCCCCTTTCTTTTTTTCATTGAAAATCGAAACCCAAACTGAGGTGTCAGTCGACTGCGACGGACGACGCGCCAAATCTTTCCCATCGATTGGCATTAGCTAGTGACTATGACGCCGAGACTGGACAATTCGACTGACCGTATTAAATATAACCGAGACCCGTTGAAACATAGATGGATTCGATTCACCGTTTAACCGAGTATTTATGCAATTACGCGTTGCTAATCGTGCACGGGCTCGGAATGGCAATGAATAATTTCCCGCGAATCGGTTAATATTTATTACATATGCTAAAACGATTGTTATCCTGACGGTATTAATGTTAACCAATTTAATCTTGTTAAATTTTAATGACGCACGGCTATCTTAATTAAAACGATGAATGATTTTCGTGATGCCCGATCTCGATGTTTCAGTTTCCTTGCTTTCTCTTATTTTCGGTACGTTTTGTCGAATATTCTAGCGATATATATATATATATATATATATATATATATATTTTTTTTTATGAGAATACGAATGCAAATACAGGCGTATATCGTTTTGTTACATTTTTGCGCTCAATTTGCCTCCGAGCGTACGTTTAAATATTATAAAATTCTTTTCACACGTTTTCGCGCGCACGCGCGCGAAAATAAAACATCGCGAGCGAACGATTTTCGAGACGATTTTACAAATAAAACACGGCGGACTGGCAGATTCGTTTCTACTAGAGATAATTTGAAAGAAATTTCTTTTGTCACTCACTGTCGAATGAAATATAAACCTCTCTAGAACGACGATAGTAATCGTTAAAACGTTTTCAAGATGATTTTACAAATAAAAAACACGGTGGACTGTCTGAGACGAGATAATTTAAACGAAATTTCTTTTATTAAGCTTCGTAGAGAGATCGCAGAAATTTTTCTAAAGCTGTTCGAATGTTTAATTTGAAAAAAAAAATCGTCGTGTATGTTCGAAACTCGCTACACTTTTCATTCATTGCCTCGCGCGAGAGCTGCTCTGCCCGATTAATAAAGGGCCGCCTGAATAGAGCATACGTCACGTGTTCCCCCGGTCGCGGGCGACATTTCCGGCGGAAAATCTGTCGAAAAGTTGACAATTACGGTAGCGGGCATCGAGGCAGCGCCGTTCAAAATCACGACGTTCCCGCTACATTATCGACTGGCCATTGCGCGCATGTGAACGCACTCACCGGCGCGGTCATCTAGTGACAGCGTTTGATTGGTCGAATCGTTTCAGCGGCACCGGCGCCGCGCTTCACCACCATCTTGATTTCTCGCGGAGAGCGACCCACCCAGCAGCAGTGTCACAGTAGTACGCTGTGCTCTCGTATACGGCGGGTGAGTGGTGGCTTCCGTACACAGCGAGTCGTTCAGCAGAGCCCCAAACGTTTTCCGCAAACGGGTTTTCGTCGTTCAGTCAGTGCGTCGCCGTTTCTTCGTAGAGGATCGCGGCCGAGCCGAAAGGGGGGAATTCCTGTAATTCAGTCCGAACGCGGCACACGGATCGTCGTCGTTCGTTGAGAGAGTTTCACCGAGAAAGAGAGAGAGACGACCGATCGAGGAAAGATGAAGAAGGGGATGCTGGTGCCCGCACTGCTGGGCGTCTTGATGGTCTGCCGTGTCCAGGTGAGTACTCCATTTGATTCGTTTTCAATACGAGCATTCGTTGTTCGACAGTGAGAACGCGAAACTTACCACTTGGTAGAGATCGATCGCCCCCCCTCCCCCTCCCCCCGGGGGACAATTTATTCTCGGCCGAGAGAGAGAGAGAGAGAGAGAGAGAGAGAGAGAGAAAGAAAGAGAGTGTCTCTCGATGACAATTTTTATTTCTTTTTTCACCTTCTCGGCAAACAAGCGGCAAATGTCACGCGCAACGCGCACCACGATCGATGTACCCGTGGCGGCGTACTTATCCCGTGAAATTTCCCTTAAACGCTCCGCCGATTAAGCGGCCGTTCTATCTGTCAAATAGGTTCACGGTGGCACCGGATCGATGCACCCGCGCGATGCTCGACGCGTATGTACATTTAGAGTGCATTATACCGTGCATTATACCGTGTGTGACACTGTAACGATCGACAGAGCCAAACTCGTTGCCCGTTCTCTTGTCGCCGAGAATGTGCGTTCGCCTTGGCTCGAGGACTGCCGCGATCCACCAACCAACCCGCCTACTCGGACTTCCAACGCTCTTTCCATGCGACCGAGCGGCATTAATCCGATCTGACGTTGTACATCGCACGATATCCTGCCCTCGCTACTTTCCTGGCTATTTTAATCATTAATGTCACGCATCGTAACGCGGCGATACCCAATTCCTCTTTTCCATCGAGGCTCTCGGCCTCGCGAGATCCTAGACTCACCGTCAGAGATTACGTTTTTTTCTTAACGTATACCTGGCGTACGATTTCTCCACGCCAGGCGTGGATCGCTGGAATGATATTGTGTTACGTTGGTATCCAGTACATTATGAAATGATGTACGAATTGAGAGAGAGAGAAAGAGAATATATAATTTAAGGGAGAAAAAATTTATTTATTCGTATATTTATATATACGTATATTCATATATTCGTATATTTTGTCAAGTATCGTTCAAGTTTTTAAAAAACGCATCAAAACGTTGTACACTCGTAGTGAAAAGATTCGAATTGGTCATTTTGACTACTCTAGTTGTCAGTCGTTGCACATTTGTAGTGAAAGATTTCGAATCGGTCATTTTGACTACTCTGTTCAAGTAGCTTTATAATAAGAAATTACTCAGATCTTTTCGAATCAGTCATTCCGACTACTTTAGTCAGTTTCGCTTTTAAAATAAAAAAATTATTCAAATCTTCGAGAACGCGTTAGAACGTACGTTTATAAAATTCCCGTGGAAAGTCTCGAATCAGTCATTTTGACTAGTTTAGTCGTTAACCGTCAATTTTACGCGGTTCATCCCAACGACTCGATGATAATTGCTCTTTTTTACCGACTCACCTCACCACCCTAGATTCTCAATAAGAAACGAAATTTACTGCAGATCTCTTTCCCGTTGTTGGAATTTAAGCGGAAAATGCACGCAACACGCAAGAACGCATGAAATATCAAAAGAGTTGCAACGTTTTCTTTTCACTTCCATTTCTTTACGCGAATTCACGAAAACATAAAATTGCATGAACGCGATCTCTTTTCAACACTCGATCGATAAATAAATTTCAAAAAAAGCGAACGAGGTAAAACAGTTTTCTGCTTCTTCACCTGTCGTCGCAACTTACAAACGACGCAATTCGTAATTCGCGGTTCTCATGGCCGACAACGTTGCCACCGACGATCGTGAAGGCTAACACTTCGCTCGTTTCACGTGTGAACCTTTTTCCCTCGAATTTCCTCGATAACGAGATTTTCGCTCGAGATTCCGGTTGGCAAAGTGTTCGGTTCGTCGTCGCACGAGTTTCGGCGTGGTTCTTTTTCTCCAGAGCGGAGAGGAGTGGGCGGAGAGGAGGTAAGAGAGGGGAAAAAAAAGTACACAGCACGGTCCTTAGAGAAGCGCTCGCTTTTAAAACGTTTCAAAGCGCGCACCTATCCCGGGGGAGTATAACCTTGTGTATGCGCAAATTATCACGCACGAGCGGGCATAGGCAAAACTCCGGCGAGACACGGGCACAAAGTAAAGAGATTGCAAATACGTAAGTCGCGAAACGGATTTGCCAACAATTTTCTCGTTAACGTTAATTCCGCGTGACAGTTCAATTTACGTTCTCGTTCCTCGCCATTGCCGCGAGATAGAATCGCGTTTCTAATGGATGGAAAAGTTGGTAGCAGCGGCGAGGTGTACCACTCGCATCGTAGGCTCGCGTCCGCCGTAGAACACGAAATAAGGAAGATCGCCGACTCGACTATTGTGCCCCGTCATTCTTTTTTCTCCCCCCGTTTAATTAATTTAATTAACGAAGATCACATGCAATATGGTTCAATGTGTGTTTATAAATTTAAATGGAAAATCACTGAAATGAAACCGTATTGGATTGCAATTTGTTGATCCAATCGTGACTTTGACCGACGTTCAGTGATTAAATTTTAATGTATTTAGGAAAGGGAACAGTCTGAGTCTGTGACATGTAAGTTGTGAAAATCTTATAGTTTCGGACACTAGAATGTAGAAATGGACAGTTCATCTATAATGTACGTGAAATATGATAATCAATACCTTCGATGTGGATATTTTTTTGAGAAAGCTTGGTAACTAAATTGAATAAAAATATAATTTAATGTAACGTTAATATTTCATTGTACGACTAATGTGTGATTGATTGATGAGGTATTGGGTTCAAAAATTCCTCTTGTGGAAAAAAATCGGAATATTTATGTCGTTTATAATTGAAGAGTATGTACACTGTATGAGTTAACCATGTTTCAAATATTTATAGAGGTGCTCGAGTGATGATAGTGTAAATATTTTAATTTCAATTAAGACAGTGGAGATTTTTTTACTTTGCCTTGGTGCAAGATGAACGTTTTCAGCTAGTATACCAAATTTTTAATATCATTTAATAGACAGCTTATATTCTATTATTCTTTACAAAATTATATGTTAGAAGTAGATATCGTTCTATTCTTTATAAATTTATCCTGAAAAATACTAACAGGGAAAAAGTGAATAAATCGAAAGAAAACTGTGACTTCTAAACGTGTTTTTTTAATATATTTAGTTATTCTTTATATATTTATTAAAAAGTTTCAATGACGCGATTACTTCGTTTCTTTCTTTTTTGCCTTTTTATTCTATTGCACGCTAAATAAATTCTCAATCGCAATTTTATTGTAACACTATTTCTTTCATTTTTTGGAATTAAATCGTAAGATAATTTCAATTATATTACGTTGAATGAGTTGCAATTAAAATTTAGCTAGAATATTCCCTCGAATTGTCAGTTCACCAAAAAACGAAAAAAAAACACGTTTTAGACGTTTAAGCTTTTCAATTGGCAATTAAAATAAGTTTCATCGTTAATAAATTCTTGTCACATTCACGTCGTCAGGCAAATTATAATTTCTGACAATTTGTTAATTTGTCACGCTTTCGTATGCATAAATCTTCCAGTTGAAATCTCACTCGCCGGTAGCAGCAACTATGATACGTACCTGAATCGTAATACTTCACCTCGAATATAAACTTCGTCGAAAATTCGTGAATGCAGCCGGGGAGATCGGTCGTCTGGTTATCCAGCCGTTTTTCACTAAAAACGCAATTACGATCTTCACCTAGATTCACGCTATATAACGCTAGCTGAAGGCATCGCGCCCGGTTGTCGCATGATTGAAACGCACAGTTAAAGGGTTTTTTTTTTCCGTGCTTTTCGATGTTTCCTCATTTCCCGCGGTCCCATTTTCTGTCTTTCTTTCTTTTTTCTTTTTCACCGTGCAGCTCGGTCTTTACGGAATAAAGAGAGAAAGAAAGAGAGAGAGAGAGGGAGGAGGAAAAAAAAGATATTGCACCGCTTAAATGCGGCTCCTTGTCCCCATGCTGGCGTACGAGAAAATGCTCTGGTAATGGAGCACGGAGTAAATGAGGACGAAAGAGTTTCAATGCATTTTTCATTTTTGACGCAGATTCTTTTAGGGTCACCTTTCACACCGCTGTCTTCTCTTTCGTTTTCTACCCTCCCCCTGTTTTCCTTTTCTTTATTTTCTCTATCTTTTCTCTCTCTCTCTCTCTCTCTCTCTCTCTCTCTCTCTCTCTCTCTGTGTTTATTTTTCTTTATTAATCAGCAAAAGCAAGCGAACGATTGCAATTTTTTTTAGTCACGCTTAACGCTAGAATAAATAAAACTGACGAGTCTGTAATTTTTATAAATAGGCGTGAATACACTGTACAAGCTTGTGTACTTTATTTATGTGTATTATAAAGATTCACCCTAATGTTTTAGGACTCTAGTCTTTTCTTTTTTAGTGTGAAATAAAATCTTAACTTTCAAGCGATGACTTTCACAGTCAAACGCAAGACATAATTTTACGAGAGTGTTTCACTATGATTCTCATCCCGTTTTTCCAGGTATTGAGAATTGCTCCGTAGCAAACTCTAGTTGTGGCAAGTGTTTAAAGCTCTGTAGTAAGTGATTTTGCCAGGAACTTATTGTAAGGCTTACCCTCAGCCTGTTTCTCAAGTGTTGTCGAGGGCTTTATAGTAAACGCGAAACATAAGGATGACTCATATCACTATGATTTTCTCTCATAACACTTTTTATTAATCAATCCAGGCGGTAGAATATTCGAATAATGGAAATGGCTCTGCTCTGTTCCAATTTTTTCTTTTTTCTTTTCCACTCTCTCTCTCTCTCTCTTTCTCTGTATATATATATATATTTTTTTCTGTTTTTCTTTCGTTCCGTTTAATCAAATTGCACATTAATCCGCTAACGAAATCAACGTTTACGAGAGAGAGAGAGAGAGAGAAAGCGAGCGGTTATTATCGAGGCTGGAAGCGAATGCAAATGATTTACTCGCGCCGAATTCAGCGTCAGTTCCCCAGGCTGATAATTTAGATAGAAACGTGTAATCGAGCGGCTCCGAAATGAAAATATCTCCGTGCAACTCCGGGAGTTCGAATCTGTGTCGAACGATTTCCGTGGAAAAATTTGTTAATTAAAA